AAATATTCAGGCTCTTGGTCTCATCACAGTAGCTGACAGTCCACAGCTCCGACTGTCTCTGTACTCACTGTTTTCATTCAGGTTTTTCCATTAGTTGGTGCCTAATCCACTTCTGTATAGTTCCTTTCAGAGCTCAGGGTTCCAGGATTATTTTCTGTATCTCTGTCAACTGGTTTTTCTTTTCTTTGTTGAAGAGGGTCTGTGTTGCTTGTCTGCCTATTCCTTCATCTTACCAGAAGTCCCAGAATGATGTATCTTTTTCTTGCAGATTCAATCATAAAACTTGATTCTACAGTGATATTTACACATTCAAAATATTTTTAAATGTTATTTACTGGAATATCAAATCTAGTAATCAGCCACACATAATTGTTTAGCAGACTCATAGTTATAGAACAGAACATCATAAAACTTGACAACATAAGTATAATAATATAAATGTCAGAGATTTCAAGATGGAAAAAAGAAGCAAAAAGGCATCAACTTCCTCATCTTATTTAGTTGGGGCATCAAGAAATGGCATAATGTTGAATCTCTTTACCACATATTTATTACTTTTCTAACAAATTCACAAATTATAAAAATGGTGCTGTGTCAACATGAATAAATATGGTCTTTGTTTAACTATAGGGAAAAGGAGGGAACTCTGGTGGCACAATGCCTAAGGCATTTGACTGCTAACCAGAAGGCTGTGGTTCAAACCCACCAGTTGCTCCACAGAAGGAAGATGAGGCAATCTACTTCCATAAAAATTTACTAGAAGATGGCGCAATCTACTTCCGTAGTGATACTGCCTCGGAAACCCAAGGAGGGGTTGATATGAGTCAGGTCTGACTCGACGGCACATAGTAACAACAACAACAACCTTAGAAACCCAGTGGGGGTTGCTATGAATTGGAATCATTTAAATGGCAGTGGATTTGGTTTTATAGGGAAAATGGCATCACTTAATACCTTTACTGAACATTCACTACAGCAACACACTATTGTAGTCCCAAAACATTTCTTTAACTTTTGCTTTACATTGGTGTTTCAGACTATGATCCATTGGTTGGTCATAAAATCAATCGTGACCATAAAATAGAAATTATTGAAGTTTCTTGCACATAGGAAGAATAATCGTATTGCAAAACTTCTTGTATGTGTATGTATGCTTGTGTGAGACAAATGTATTTAGTACTGAGGGTAATGGGTCAGCTTTTTAAGTTTTCTCTCTCCTCCAATACCAGCCCTAAGTTGTCATTCTCTTGCTATCAGTAGTTCTGCCTCTGTGTAGGTACTATTCCTACCCAAAATTTATGAGTTCTAATCTGCTAAACAAAGAAACCAAACTGAATTCATTTTTATTTCCCCTACTTCCCTCCAAAATCTACCCCAACTCCAACATTCCTTGTGCCTGATAACTTAATATAATCCCCCCAAGCTCCAAATTTTGGAGTCATAGGTGCCCCCTCTCCTTCCAGTCCTCTCTGACCTCTATTCAATCATCTTCCAAATCCTTTTGATTCTCAGAGTCTCTCATTGACTTGCTTTTTCTTCTATCTTCACTGCTAGTGCCCTGGTTTGCATCTTTATTACCTCTCACTTCAGTTATCACAACAGACCTGTACTAGCCTTATCTTTTTTCCTTTCTCCTCTCCCCAACCCATTTTCCAAAATGCTGCCAGTATATTCTTCCTAAAGAATACATAATATGTACAACACTGAACACATCCCTTTACACATTCCCTTAATGCTCACAACAGGCCTTACTTGCTGCCATCGAGTCAGATTCGATTCATAGCGACCCCTCCTTGGGTTTCCGAGGTGGTATCACTACGAAAGTAGATTGCCCCATCTTCCTTCCGAGGAGTGGCTGGTGGGTTTGAACTGCCAGCCTCCTGGTTAGCAGTCAAGTGCCTTAGGCATTATGCTACCAGAGCTCCTACAATAGGCCTAGAAGGCTGATATTATCCCATTTCATAAATAAGAAACCAGAGGTTGAGAGAGATTAGGAAACTTGCCCAAGGCCACAAAAAACTAGTAAGCAATGCAGTCAGATTAAATCCAGATCTAGGTAGGTCAGGAAAAAAAAAAAAACACAGTGGCCATTGAGTCAATTCCAACTCTTGACAATCTCTTGCATTGTAGAGCAGAACTGTGCCCTAGGGTTTTCTTGGCTGTAATCTTTATGGAATCATACCATCAATGTGGGAGCTCTGGTAGCACTTGACTGCTAACCAGAAGGCTGGCGGTTCAAACCCACCAACCACTCCTTGGAAGGAAGGCTGGGCAATGTACTTCCATAGTGATACTGCCTCGGAAACCCAAGGAGGGATCGCTATGAGTCAGGCCAGACTCAACGGCAAATAACAACAACAACAACAACACTGCCTCGAAAGCCCAAGGAGGGGCACTATGAGTCGGGGCCAACTCGACGGCACATAACAACAACAACAACAACACTGCCTCGAAAGCCCAAGGAGGGGCACTATGAGTCGGGGCCAACTCGACGGCACATAACAACAACAACAACAACAACCGTCAATGTAGCCACTGTAGTTTCAAAGCCCATGTTAAATTGTGTCCTTCAGTATCTTGCCTATATATCCCTGCACTTGTTTTTCCTCCTCATCTTTCCCGTCACATCTTGTTCTGCAAATCCATCTCAAACTTCTCCCTATAAAAAACTTTCAGATTTCCTCTCCCCTAGGCTATGTTCTCACAACACTGGTGTTTACCTTTATCATATCTGTCTGTCCTGCAATTCTATATTAAAAAAAAAAAAAATCAAACTCACTGCTATGAGTTGATTCTAACTCATAGCCATCTCTACTGTGTTTCCAAGGCTGTAAATCTTTAAGGAAGCAGATTGCCTCATCTTTCTTCCATGGAGCAGCTGGTGGTTTCAAACCAGACCTTTAGGTTATGCCTTAACCACTACACTACCAAAGGTGCTTGCAATTGTATATGCACGTCTTTTTCCTCTCCTAGATTCTCTGCTCATTCAGGGCAATAACCACCATCTCTGTTCAGCCCTACAATTCCAGTATATAACAAAGAGTAAATTATAATAGGTGTTTAAAATATCTGAACTTAATTTTAAGCACCATGAAAGTAAGGACAAGATCATATGTTTCTCTGCAAACACTAAAGCACCAAGAAATACCTTCCTCGTAATAGCTACAATAATTTAGTTTGAATGAATAAATTCACATCTGCATAAACTCCCTCATGCATGCCTAAATATATGAAGGTGGGAGAGGAGAGTATATTTGCTTTGTTGCTTTAATCCATGAGAAATTTGAAGGTTAGGAACTAATGGATGATAGAGCACTGAGGGTAATAAAAGAATTCTTATGACAGATCTAATTTCAAAGAACATTAAGGAAGGGAATGCTTATGTCAAATCTCCGAATATCCATTGTTATCTCTGTCTGAGACAGGATGATGGGAAAGACAGATCACTAGTCTGATTTACAACACAATACTATTACATACATTTTCATGGGATATTGATTTTTTTTTTTTTTTTTTTTTGGTGTTCTAGTGTCCTACATAAATTAACCTCCCAAATATCTTTAGAATATGCCTTCATGACAAGATGTGACTGACTTACTGATATCCTGACAGTACACAAAATATATAGCAAGGTGAAAAGGCCTAGAAACAAAACTGACATTTCCTAACCAACCGACAAAGGAATCTCACTCATTCCTGTAATTTCCTCTTCTCTGCTTCCTACCTTCTTGGGCAGCCTGTATAAAATAATCAGTTCTTTCTTCCATTGGGAGCTCTGGTGACACAGTGCCTAAGGCATTTGACTACTATGAGTCGAGTCAAACTCAAAGGCAGTGCATTTGGCTTTTGTTTTCTTCCATTAGTTCAAAAAAACCATATCATGCTGCTATGTGACAGGGAGCTTTGGTGGCTTAGTGCCTAAGGCCTTTGACTGGTAACCAGAAGCCTGACAGTTCAAGCCCACAAGCCACTCCTCAGAAGGCAGTCTGGGCAATCTACTTTCCTACTGTTATCACACCTCGGAAACCCAAGGAGGGGTCGCTATGAGTCCGTCCGACTCAACGGCAGTGTGTTTGGTTTTGGGTTTTGGCTATCTGACAGGATATAGCTAGACATTGAGGCTAAGGCATTTGACTGCTAACCAGAAAGCTGGTGGTTCAAACCCACCAGCCACTCCTCAAATGGCAGACTGGGCAATCTATTTCCACAGAGATACTGCCTAGGAAACCCAAGGAGGGGTCGCTATGAGTCGGAATTGACTTCACAGTAGTGAGTTTGGGTTGGTTGTTTTCTTGTTGTTGTTGGGTTTTTTTGTTGTTTGTTTGTTTGTTTTTGAGGTTAAGACACAGTTTCAGTGCCCCAACTCTGTGTCTCAGTGCAATGCAGTCAATACCTGTCTCCTGTCCTTTGGCATCTCTACATCCTTTCTTAGTGCTCCCTGCTCTGAAGTAAATGCATCATTTTCTGGTCACTTTACTGATATAATTGGACTCTTACTCGGAACTCACCATAAGACCCACTGAAGGACTTTAGCGCTCAGGTGTTCCACCCCTCTTTTCCACAGGATCTTTCTGCTGTCACCCTGCTCTCCTGTATGCCTCTCACTCCTGCACCTTCTATTACTCCAACTGAGGACTTCCCAAGCACCATAGGTGCCATCAACCCAACCAAACTCCCCTTCCTGGGAGAAGTCTGTTACCCACTACTACCAATAGCACCATGACATTCACCACTCTCCCCGCCATTAAGACCTGGAGGAACGCGACAGCTGTGAAAGGATGAGTGGACGGAAAACGGGCGCGCGCCAAGGGTACGTGCACGCGCCGAGGAGACTTGTACTTGAGAGGAAGGAAGGAGGCCGTGCGCGAGCCGGAAAAACGTGCGCACGCTGGAAGGGACGTGCGCGCGCCGGCAAGCTGAGCCTGCGCACATTCACAAGCCCGGTGCCTCCGAGCCATTAAGTGGGTACCCATAGATTCCAGCTCCGCGCGGTCTCGCACCTTCTGGGTCAGCAGACAGGATTGGCGTAGTCGCTCCTGGGTACTCATCGCCTGTAGACGCTGCTTCAGCTCGGCCCGAAGGCTCCGCTTGGCACCACTCACAGCTGCCGCCGCCATTTCACACCGAAGCTGGGTCCAGTTACACCCTCAGCGCCCTGCAGTTTAGCCCTTGACGGTACCCAGAGGGGTCTGCCAACCTGAGGGAGGGTCAAGGCTCCCGGAGAAGCGCCCCCTCTTCGGGATTTCTGGCCCCGCGGCGCGCCACGCCCCTTCCACGCCCCCCGCCTTTAGGACCCAGCCTTCGTGCAGCCTTGTGGCGTTAGTTCTCTAATCCCGCCCCTTCTCTGCACGTAGAAGCGATGGGAGTGTGTGCTTGTTGGCTCTACCACTATGGGTACTAGATCTGTAACCCTGTACAACATACTTACCCTTCCTGCGCCTCCGTTTCCTTATCTAGACCACAAACCCACTACCCTCGAGTAGTTTTGAACCCATAGCGACCCTATACTAAAGGCCATTAAGTGGATTCTCACTCATGACGATCCCCCATAGGGTTTCAAGGATTGTAAACATTTGCTGAAGCCAACTGCCTTATCCTTCTTCCGCGGAGTAGCTGGTGCAGTGGAACCACCTACCTTTTGGTTAGCAGCCGAATGCCTTAACCACCACACCACCAGAGCTCTTTAGTGAGCCTGTCGCACTGACATTCAGTGGGGTCCGGCTCATAGTGACCCCTCGTTGGGTTTCTGAGGCGGTATCTCTGAAAGTAGATTGCCCAATCTTCCTTAGGATAGCGAGCCTACAGGACAGAGTTAAAGTGCCACATAGGGTTTCCAAGGCTGTAATCTTTAAAAAGCGGACTGTCACATCTTTTTCCCACTAAGCAACTGGTGGATTACGATAGCCACCCTTTTGGTGACAGCCGAGTACTTTACCAGTGGTCATCAGGGCTCTTAGAGGTAGTAATACCAGTGAAAAGTGTATTCAGCCATTCCTTAAACGCCTATGATATGTGTGGTTCAGGACCTATTTGAGGCTCATAAAGAAGGGAAAGGCAGGCAGAGAACAATAGAACTAAAGAAACATGATAGGTGGAAGGAAGAAGGCAGCTGGAGAACTTTGTTCCTACTAGTTAAATGGGAGATGGCCCCCATTTTCTGCAAAATCCTCTTTTCCATTAGGTGGGAGGGAACTGATTCATTGCCGACAGACAGAACAGATCATTCATTAATGTAGTAAGTGACTTTACTGAATCAGGACGCATCTTCTCTTCACCTCTGGAAAAGATAACAACGCAACGCAACACAATGCACTGCCCCAGAGTCCCATCAGACTCATAGCGACCCCTCCTTGGGTTTCCGAGGCAGTATCACTATGGAAGTAGATTTTCCCAATCTTCCTTCCTAGGAGGGGCTGGTGGGTTTGAACCACCAGCCTTCTGGCTAGCAGTCAAATGCCTTAGGCACTACACCACCAGAGCTCCTCAAAATAAGTTGCCTTGTCCATTATAGGCTCTGAGTCCAACAATCTTGTCACTGTAAAGTAACTACAACTTGCTCATAATCCTTATGTAACAGGATGAGAAAATCAGACACCAAGTGTTCCTTTCTCTTGTTTCTCTTGCAGGCCATTTAACCTGAGTTAGGAGAATATGGTACCTCAGGGGAACAGCTAAGTGTAGAGAAGACTCTTGTACATCAGATTTGCCACACAGTAAGCTAGTGAAAAACTGAGAATTAGTTATTTGATATATAAGGGAATTGTTCCTTGAGATAATTTCAGGCTGGAACTTAATGAGAGAAAATTTGACAAGTTTGTGTTGAAATTTAGCAAGTTTTACTTTAATAAATAAGCTTTACTAAAGTTTGTATAGGAGCTCTGGTGTTGCAGTGCCTAAGGCATTCAACTGCTACCAGAAGATTGGCAGTTCAAACCCACCAGTCACTCCACAGAAGGAAGATGGGGCAATCTACTTCCATAAAGATTTACCACCTTGGAAACCCAGAGGAGGTTGCTATGAGACAGAATAAACTCAATGGCAGTGGCTTTAAAGGTTGTATAGAAAGACAAACATTTAAGAATACCTAGGAAAACATGGAAAAAGAAAAACCACAATTGGGGACTAGCCCTTCCAAACATTGAAACTATACTATAAAGCCTCTAAAATTAAAACAGTACTGGCATTTGAATACACAAATAGACCAGTGGAATATAAAGTACAAAAATAGAATCAAATTTATATGGAAATTTAGTGTATGGTAAAAATAGCATGTCAAATCACTCTGGCAAAGAAGGACTTTTTAAAAAATGGTCCTGGAACAACAGGATAGCCATTTTTCAAAAGATAAAATTGCATCCATACATCATTCAGTGCACAATAAAATACTCCAAATGGATTGGGATCTAACTGTAAAACAGTGAGACGTTACATACTAGAACAAAATAGGACACTTCAGCCTCAATGTAGAGGCTTTCTATGACTCAAAGTCCAGAGGTATTGGGGAAAAAAAAAAAGATTAACAAACTACATACATTTTTTATTTGCATCACGTGAAACTATATGCAAAATACAAAGATAATGACAACTTGCAACATATACCACAAATAGCTTATCTCCTAATATATAAAGAACACTTAAAAATTTAGGTCCATGAATGTGAGTACTCAATATGGTGGCAGTGAAGAAGAGGAAGACATAGAAAGGTACATGGGAGGTACAGACAACAAAGATGAACCCTTTTGCACATACAATACTGCGTTGTCAGTGAAGGCAAACATGGATATACAGGTGGATAGATGAGTGGACAGGCAGAACTATTAGGTATATCTATGCAGGGGTGGGGGGAGCTCTGGTAGCATAGTGCCTAAGGTACTTGACTGCTAACCAGAAGGCTGGCAGTTCAAACCCACCAGCCACTCCTCGGAAGGAAGATGGGGCAATCTACTTCTGTAGTGATACTGCCTCAGAAACCCAAGGAGGGATCACTATGAGTTGGATCTGACTCGACGGCACATAACAACAACAACACGCAGGGGGGGAGTGTGCCCAAGACCATATATAGGGTTGGCAGACAATGTTTCTGCAAGTGTATTGGTAAGTTCTCTAAGAATTCCCAGGTATATAGTAGAGTTGATAAGGGACAAAATTGTAGTCACTTCTTGGCCCCAGCCAGCTACCCAGAGAGAGTGAGTAGTTGGACCTGTGGGCTCGAGACCATAGTCGCAGAGAACATCAAGCTCAATTGGCGTAACATACTACACAAAACATTGTTCCACCTCCTACTTTGGCAAGTAACGACTGGGATCTTAAAAACTTGCAAGCAGCCATCTAGATGCAATGATGGGACTCTCCTCATCCAGAGCAAAGAAGAATGAAGAAAACCAAAGATTCATGGAAACAATTAGTTCAAGCGACTGGTACCCCATGCGATCCTCAGCCTATATGACTACGAGATCAGAAAAACTAAATGGTGCCCGGCTACCACTGTCAACCACTCAGAGGAGATCCTTCTCCCAGGAGATCCTGGGAGAACAATGTGGAACAAAACTCAAAATCATTAAAAAAAAAAAAGGACCAGGTTTACTCATCTGATAGAGCCTGATGGAACCACTGAGACTATGGCCCCTAGCTCCCCTTCAGGTCTGGAATAGAACCCACTCCTATGGCTTCCAGCCAAACAAAAGACAGGCATATGAGCTGAACATTTACATTAGGTAGATACACTCCTTGGAGAGAACAATCATGGGACAACAGAAGGGCTATGTATGCACAGGGAGACAGCTTGGAGGGGGGCAGGAGTGCATGGGAGGGAAGGACACAGGGAAGAGGTAACTGGGGAGGAAGTGGGAGGGAAGCTGTTGCATTTGATAAATTGTAGTCAATGTCATGAGACAGTGTATGTGAGCTGCTGTATGGAAAGTGAATTTGCTCTGTAAACCTTCACCCAAATCACAATTTAAAAAAATTAAATTAAAATTAAAAAAAAATTAATTACAGGCTTTGGGGGGGAAGGTACCCACACTGAAAAGAAGTGAACTTATCTCTATTTACAGATGACATGAGCTTGTATATAGAAAACACTAAGATATCCACACCAAAAAAAGGAAAAATCGTACTTTGAAAGCTACAAAACATTGTTGAAATAAAAATAAATGGAAAGACATCCCATCTTTGTGGATTGGAGCACTTAATATTGTTAAGATAGTAATACTCCCCAAATTGATCTCCCATTTGATGCAATCTCTGTTGAAATCTCAGCTGGCTTAGTTGCAGAAATTGACAAGCTGAACCTAAAATTCACATAGAAATGCAAGGAACCTAGAATAGCCAAATCAACCTTAAAAAGAAGAACAAAGTTGGAGAACTCATGTTTCCTAACTTCAAAACTTACTACAAAACTACAGTTATCAGTACAGTGTGGTATTGGCATAAGATTAGACATATAGATTCATGAAATACAACTAAAAGTCCAGATACCAATAGTGCCAAGATAATAGGGAAAGAATAGTCATCAACAAATGGTGCTGGATATTCACTTTTGAAAGGTTGAAATTGGAGCCCTATCTCATTTCATATACAGATTTTAAAATAGATTAAAGGGTTAAAACTATATACCTCTTAGAAGAAAACATAAACATAAATCTTTACTTATGGATTAGTGGTTTCTTAGACATGACAGCAAAAGCACAATTTACAAAAAAGAAAAATAGATAAGTTGGACTTCACCAATATGAAAAACATTTGTCTTTCAAAGGACACCATCAAGAAAGTGATAAGATGACCTACAGAATGGAAGAAAATATTTGCAAATCAGATATTTAATAAGGGACTTGCATTCAGAATATATAAACTCAACAATTCAGCAGTAAAAATAGAAATAATCTAATTTAAAAATAGGTAAAGAGCTTGCATAAAATATACAAATGTCCAATAAATACATACAAAGAAGCTCAACATCTTTTTATTAGGGAAATGCAAGTAAAAACCACAGAGAAACCACTCCATACCCACTGTTGTTGTTGTTGTTGTTGTTATGTGCCATTGAGTCGGACCCGACTCATAGCGACCCCTCCTTGGGTTTCCGAGGCAGTATCACTATGGAAGTAGATTGCCCCAT